CATGCAGCTGGTCCAGGAGGCACTATAGACAGTTGCAGTCCACAGGGCCCTGAGCTGGAACCTGGAGTAGAGGGCGGGCCTGGGTTCCCCCCAAACCTCCCAATTGACCTGGACTGTGGGTTCTTCCAGAGGGGAAGGTCTCTGGGCTGTTCCCCACCCGCATGGTGAATCTCTGAGGCAAGAAAATCTGCCAATAAGCCCAGGACCCACCAAGATAGAGGAGGAACTTTGTCACAGTGCGTATAGGTCAGAGGGGGAAAGTGTTTCTCAGGGGAAAAATATTTTCCTAACAAGTGAAATATAAAAATAAACTTCCCTTTCTACCCACATAAAAATTCATATATATGCAAGATTCATGTGATAGTTCTCCTATGTAACTAGTGTGGCACTCTTGAAACCCTGTTTTGCCTTCATATATTGAAACACTGCTCCCACTGATTACAAGGGTGTATCTGGAATTTTAGAAATGAAATTCACAAAACTGAAAAATTACCCAGTTCTTATAAAAACAAATTGTATTTCCATTTTTACCACATTGTTTTTCATCATTTGTTTGTTTTGTTGCAGATACATATGAAGTAAATCGAGAGATGAAAACCTATACCATATTTTTAAACATAAATGGCAAACCTTGCAATATGAATGGAAAGCAAATGAAATGCAAAGAAGGAAAGACAGAGAAACAGCTGACCCTATCACTGGAGGCAAAATAAGGCCACTTGGTGTGTCTGGCTCTTTTTTTGTAAAATCACTTCAGTCCAATTGCTCAAAGAATGTGAAATAATGAACATATTAGCAAGTAGCAGTTGTTGATTGGTGCCCATCATAAAATGAAAACGGTCAATTTTTGATCTGATTTAACATCCATTAAAAAAATGTCAAACTGTTGCTGAAATAATATCATTGTATCAAGTAGTGTTTCAGGTTGGCCATCCCAGAGATGAAACTGAACCTATTCAATAAAATACAGGATAGTGTGTTCTTAAAATCTATCCAGTCAGCCTTTCTCTCAGGATAGGCAAGAAAAAAATAAAATAAATCATAGTGGAAATATAAATGAGTGTAACAAGTCAATCAGAACATTTCTTTGCATAACACCTCATCTGTTCACAAAAGTAATTTCATGTTTTTGGATGAAATTTCAAAGAACTGCACTCTGAACTTATCTGCAATTAATTTATCTGATGGGTTAATAGAAAAGAAAAATATATGAAGAAATTAGAAGGCAGGACCACAAATATGGAGAAGGCAGCTAAAGAAATTCAAATGGAAAACACAGGACAATCAGAAAATCCTAGTGCAGCAAAACTGTGCCCTTCAACTGAAGAACAGGCAGAAAAACTCACAATGTTTTGTTTTAAGAAAAGAAAGAAGTCCTGTAAGAAGACATTGGAGATGAAAGGTGTCTGTGAAGAAGACTCTGTAACCTTGAAACATACAAGCCAATCCATCAATTCAGCCCCTGGAGAAGGGGAAGTTTCCAACCAATCTCAGTCATCAAGGGGAGCCTGGGCAACTATAAAACGTCTAGTGACACCTAAGAGACGGTCAAAATCTTCAAGGAAGCAGACACACTCTGATTCTCAAGTGCAACTGGAGATAAATACCGAGGATCCTGGCTTGCAGAGTTTTCCAAAGAATCGGGTTAGTTCTGGGCTTAAAATTCCCTGTATACGGTTCTCAAGAGGCAAGAAAAAACCCAGCCATTCTGAAATAACAGAAGAATCAGATTGCAGTGTTAAAGCAAATGAACTGATGGGCATTTTGAATAAAGCTAACAGTGAACCAGAGGATTTGGCAATAACAGTCAAATCTAGCATGGATCAATCCTTCAGCCAAGCCTCTGAAAAAAGTGACAGGAACTCACTTAATTCCACTGGGAAGAATGCGCTTTTGGTAGAGTCCAGACCAGACACTGATCAACACACACAGTGCATCGTTCAGTCAGAAATAACAAATCCAGAGGCAGTTGCTATAATGCTCCAGGAAAAGCTACACCAGAAGAGCCTACATGAAACTCCTGAACATACACCTGTAGCAAACAAGGGAGTTGATCTCGAAACCACCCTTAGTGCTAATGTTTCTAAGGACCTACCAGATAATGTAGCTGAAGCCACAGAGGTACAAGAAACAAATAGCATCGATGACACAGGGCTTGAATATAAAGAGTCTGGAAGGAACATAAATGCTAGTGAAGACTGTCAATCCAGAGAGAGAATAATGAGTTTCAATCAGTCAGCATTTAAAGATGATGCAGTAAGCGTGCAGAGCTGTTCAAGTGAACAATTGAAATTAGAAGAAAACAAGAACACTAGCGGAGTGAGCATTGTGATTACAATTACTGAAGCAGATGACGAGCCTGATGAAGAGGAGTCAAACCTGGACTGCAAGCTGTCCTCCATTACATGTGAACATAAGCAAAAGGGGAATAAAAAAATAAGTGGGAACCTCAATTTCAGTAAACTTTCTAATCGCAAAGAGGGCATAGTATCAGGCAGTGGCCACAGGAGAGAGGCTAAAGTCTGTTCTCCTGCTCGGTCACCCAATGGTCTTAGTGATCAGGAGCACGGCACTTCAGAACAGTATGAATTGCTTCTGATAGAAACTGCTGCTTCACTTGTTAAGGCAGCGATTCAGTCATCTATAGAACAGCTGGTTAATGAAATGGCTTTGGACCATAGTAAACATAACAGTGTTCTGTAATGACAAGAATGCCCCAAAATATAGTATGACTCAACAGCAGCAATTTAAAATTGTTTAGCGCCAAGATGAAAGGCTAGAAACAGTCTTAACTCCTTAGGTATTTGGGGTCTGTGTGTAGTGTATTTCTGCATGCTGGGTATGCCATTGTGTATCTGTAAAATAGATCCAAGAATAAGGACTCAGTCCTGCAAAGTGTTGACAGGCTCATGGGATGGGGCTTTAAAACATTGTGATTGTTGATAGCTGTGGAAAAGGTAAGTTGTTGTATTTCAGTTTCTCTCTCTTGCAGTTTGGGGGCTCTATTATGTCACTATATATTTTAGATTTTTTCCTATTGTTTACATTTTATTTATTATACAGTATCTGTCAAAGGCCTCAGGGGTTACTGAGCACTCTCAACTGTATTGGGCCTGGGCCTGTACTCGTCATAATCGGTTGGAGTTTTGCCATTGATTTCAATGGCAACAAGATTGGGCCCATTGACTTCAGTGCAGGTTGAGCATGTTCAGAACCTTGCAGGATTGGGTCAATGTCTCAAGATGCACATACTGTTTTAAAAACTACTACAATCTCAAACTGACATGGCAATGCTATTATTGTATAAAATGAGACAGGTATATAGAGGGCAGCATATCATTTGGCCTATTCCACTGCCCAAAATGTCTTGTGCATCTCAGACAGTGAAGTCATGCACTAAGCACAAGTGTATCTGACTCACGGCCATGGGGTTGCCAAGAAAATGGTGCCACTTAACTTGTTGAAGGGCCTGCCCTGATCCATTCAAGTCAATGGTAAAACTTCCAGTTACATCAGTACTGCAGGTTTGGGCCTAAGTGAACAAGTTACTGATACAGATGCTCCCTGACTTACGCAAGCATTCCGTTCTGGAATGCCTTGCGTAAGTCGGAAACGTATCTCCGACCATTACGCCAAAAAAATAAAAAAAACCCTCCTATTTCTAGCTTACAAAACTTTTTCCGCAAACTCAGATTTGTGTACGTCGGGTTTCCGTAACTTGGGGAGCGTCTGTATTCTCTTCTCCTGACATCTTCCTTTGTTTTTATAACATTGCAGTGCTGAGGCCAACTCTTCGCTTTAGCACATTTTTAATATGTAGTATGTACTATAAATAGTAACGAGCTGCTAGAGCTCTCGTGGTGAAGTATTTCCCCAGGGTTAAAATAGTTCTGCAATTGCAATGGTCTCCAATCAGTCTGTTTTAACTTGAGCATTTTTTGTTTAATTGTTGCTAATGCCTTTGACTATAGCCAGCATTTTTTTAAATAAGTCTTAGGGTTTTTCCCTCTGCTTCACAGCTCTTCCGAACTTCAGCAAACAAATCCATCCCACCTGTGTGTAACTGCATTATGCCACTTAATTTCTCCTTGCAGTTTCATTTGAATACACTATCATTGGCATCGTATTCTGAACTGTAAAATCATGACGGGTATAGAGAAAGTAGATAAGGAAGTGTTGTTTACTCCGTCTTATAACACAAGAACTAGGGGTCACCAAATGAAATTAATAGGCAGCAGGTTTAAAACAAATAAAAGGAAGTATTTCTTCACACAGCGCACAGTCAACCTGTGGAATTCCTTGCCAGAGGATGTTGTGAAGGCCAAGACCATAACAGGGTTCAAAAAAGAACTAGATAAATTCATGGAGGATAGGTCCATCAATGGCTATTAGCCAGGATGGGCAGGAATGATGTCCCTAGCCTCTGTTTGCCAGAAGCTGGGAATGAGCGACAGGGAATGGATCACTTGTTCTGTTCATTCCCTCTGGGGCACCTGGCCACTGTCGGAAGACAGGATACTGGGCTAGATGGACCCTTGGTCTGACCCAGTATGGCCTTCCTTATGTTCTTAACTGCTGGGTACTGCTGCTTTGAGCTGGAATGGCCCAATCCTGCTCCCATTGAAGTAATCAGAAAAACCTCAGATCAGGCCCTTAAACACCTGCCATAGTTGAATCCTGAAACAGGTTTGTCATTGACAGAAAATATCAAATGCTTTGTTAGAGTTTTTGTGTATATTGTATAATATATACAATAAGTGTGTGTGTATCACTTGCCCTGTTCATTACCAGCTCTTTAAAAAGAAGCCTTTTGATTGTAATCTGTAAAGAATGAATGTGGGTCATGGGGCTATGATTTATGTGCAGCAGCCAAATAAACGACCATATTCTCCTGAAAACATGCATTCTTGTGCATATTTCTGAGCTGATGCAGAAATAGCAACCTCACTTGGCAATTGTGCATTGACCATTTGCAATTTTGGGAATCTTTTTTCTTCCCCAGGACAGCATATGGATCCTGTGTTAAAATACAAGGGCTATAGTTTTTCCTAGGAACAAGAGCTCAGTCACATTTTAAACATTGGAGGTAGAGAATCCGAGCAGAGTACACACTTAATGGCACACACTGAAAATGAGCAATGAACACCAGGGCATGCTTCTGCGTATATGTGTAGAACTCCAGCCTTAAATCTAGAGGTGTGAAAAAGTGTCTAAACTTTTTCTATGAATATATTTGCTCAACTGTAGTTTGGATCAGAGTATCACTGATCCAGGATATGTAATATTAATGAATTAGTGCTTTATACCGTTTGCTGTAAACATTGTGGCATAATTTAAAAATGATGACCCTTCAGGACTTTATGCAACTTTGGAACCCCTGCAGTGTTCTCAGGCACGACATAGACATGCAGGAAGAGGCTTGTTTGAGCTAATGGACTTGCACTATATGTCTTGATAGATCATTGCTGGATGGAGGAGAATCAAAGAATATCAGGGTTGGAAGGGACCTCAGGAGGTCATCTAGTCCAAACCCCTGCTCAAAGCAGGACCCTAACCCCAGGCAGATTTTACCCCGGTTCCCTAAATGGCCCCCTCAAGGATTGAATTTGCAGTCCTGGGATTAGGAGGCCGATGCTCAAGCCACTGAGCTATCCCTCCCCCCTGCAGCACAGTGTAATTCTGGAAGGTCTGTTGGCTGTGGAAGAGAATGTCATGTGTTCTGTGAAATGGATAAAAGTTTACTCCTGTAGTGGGACAGCTTGTGTGAGTCAGCATAGCTCCCCTGAGATCAATTTCAGGTGGCTTTCATGTTGATGTACACCAGCCGAGGAACTGGCCAGTGTAGATATTTTAGAAGAAAATGATACAAAACTTGTGATTAGGAAATTAGAGATTGACAAAAATACACTTGTGCCCCAGCCATGGGCCTATAGGTGTTCACTACTGATATATGTTCAGGTTTGTGTTAGCCATCCTTTTGCGCTGTAGCTAGCTTTTCCTTCCATTATAACTGGCTACATAACTAACAAGCACTTCATTAAAAATGAATACACCTGTTGTTTTCTTGCATTGTGATTGATTGGGTGGCTATGCAGGAAACAGTGATTTTACATTGAAAGACTAATCTACAATAAAGATCACCTGTCCAGATTTGAATACTTCTAGCCACTCAGGCATCCATCCATACAGTGAGTAGAAACAGGTTTTCTAGACATTGCTAGAACTTTTGAGAATATCTAAGCAAATGTGTCCTTTTCACTAAGTTTTAACTTTGATTACTGTGCGCCAAAGCAAGTGTCACCCATTTTTAACATGTTAGATATAATTAGTGTGGCTTCATTTTGACTAATAATTTCACTAGGCTGTGTGGGTTTCAGACATACTAGGCCAGGTTCAGTCCTGGTGTAAGAAGGTGCAACTCCAGTGAAGTCAGTCGAATTACATCCATTTACACAGACCTGTGTTTGGCTCACTGTTCTTATATTTTTCAGACTTTTTGTAGTGCTAACAGTAGCAAATGAGATTAATTTGTGTTCTAGATCAAACAAACCTTAGCACCCTTCTTCCTTTATTTAGCATCTTTCACATAAGTATTTTGCAGTATGTAATAGTAAATATTTGTAATTTTTCTTTACTTTCATTCATTGCACTTTTATCACAGGGCATCACAAAGAACATAGAACTTTATAAACATGAATTAATTACGCCTCAGAGCCTCCCTCTGTTCAGACCAGACAGAAGGGTTATTAGTTTACTACTGAGAGAGAGAATGTTAGCCTCTTGAATAAAGAATAGTAAGTTTGTTTTATAGTTGTGTGGGTGTAACTGGACTATGAAACCCATAAGCATAATATTGCCTGGCTATGCAAGAGCTGCAGATGTAAGGTATTGTGGAAGGTTTTTTAAAACTGTTTTCTCACCGGTGGTTAAAAGAAACTAGTATGCTAGTTAACCTCTAATGCTTACAATCTGACTTTGAGCACGTATGTTACTTTCTTCTCCAGCCATCTTGCTTCTGATTCAGAAGTCTGCTGCCTCTTTGAATTGTGGAAGTGGTTTCTGCCTGGCGTTTGTCTGAATGAATGCTTCCCCCCCCCCCCCTCTAGTCACTGCATTCCTTCCTACTTCTCTCCCCTGACATTTCCAGCATGACCCTTGGCAGGGACAACTCCTCTTTCTTGCCCATTCGTACTTTGCAATGTCATGTTGAATATTTTATTTTCTCACAGCTTTTTTTAATATAAGCAACAAAGAAGGAAGAGTATTTAAATACATTTTTTTAATACAAACTTAAAGAGCTTTTAGAATAATTCACCATCCTAGCACAATTGTATTGTGGTAATAGTGAGCAGAAAGCAACTGTGTTAGTTTAAATGATCCTTGTGAAAACTGCTAGTAAAGGGTTCAACAAGTAGGCCACTAAAACGAATGAACTGTGTGGGGCCAGGTCCCCAGCTGTTATAAATCCAGGTAGCACCACTGAAATCCACAGAGCTAGTTGGACATTGTTGATCATTTTTATGAAAGTGCAAGAACTGTTTCACAAATGCACAAAGTAAATTAATCAAACTGTCTAATCCAGGAGAAAGTGTGTGTGGGGGGGCGGGGGGGTAGGTATTTAAGCTAAATGGAAAATTGACGGATCCAAAAACTCACTTTCCAGCAGTTATGTTTTCCTCAAAATAATCATCGTTTTTTATAAAACTTAGTGTAGGTAACATAGCATAACTCTTTAACACAAACTTCCAGATTGCACTTTGTCATTACACTTTTGTGCGCGGCGGTTCTGATTCAGAGGGTTGTGTGGCTTTCTCGGGCGGGACAGATTTAAGACACACAGGCACGTAGGTAGCAAAA